TCCCAGCCGGCAATCGGGCGAAGGCGGGGTACACCCTGGACAGGTCGCCAATCCATCGCAGGGCTAACACATAGACAAACAACCACACACCCACACGCACATGCACTCCTATGGGCAATTTAGAGACACCAATCAACCTAAGCTGCATGTCTTTGGACTGTGGGAGGAAGCCGGAGTACCCGGAGAGAACCCACGCAAGCACATGCAAACTCCACACAGAAAGGTCCCAGGTGGGGCCCAAACCTGGAACCTTCGCGCTGTGAGGCAACGGCGCTAACCACTGTGCCGCCCTGACTCTTAAATTAAGATGGATTTTAATGTAACAAAAAGGAAGAAGCTGGATGATGACACTGTTGAAAAATTCAGCAGAGATGCTACACCAGTAAGACTTTGATTCAAGTTGAAAACTGGCTTGGCGGCCCATCAGAGCAGTGGTTAGCGCTGTCACATCACAGCAAGAAGGTTCCGGATTTGACCCCAGGCCCTTTCTGTGCAGAGTTTGCATGTTCTCCCTGTGCTGCATGGGTTCTTTTCAGGTACTCCGGCTTCTTCCCACAGTCCAAAAACATGCAGCCTAGGTTGACTGGCACCTCTCAGTTGCCCGTAGTGGTTGTGGGTGTATTCATTTGTCTCCATGTCAGCCCTGTGATAGACTGACGACCTGTCCAGGGTGTACCCCACCTCTCACCCAAAGTCAGCTGGGATTGGCTCTAGCCGGAATAAGCGGTATAGATAACAGATGGATGGATGAAAAGTGGTTTTGTATTTAGAGGTGAAAAGTACCATCATACGGGCTGTGAATGGAAAAGCTGCCGCCACCCCACAGAGATGAACTGAAGACGACTTTGTTTCCTCTCTCTTGCTGCAGGAATCTCCTCTCTGGCTGCTCAGTTTGCCAGACTTCATATGGGACTTAAGCATTTAAACTTCTCCAAAACCTCACTGTCACCCAAAGGTATGTGCTGCGTTTCCCTGTCATTTGTACGTATAGTTGCTAAAATGGGTGGATGATAAATAGAAACATCAGCTATTACATGTATGAAATTCAGTTGGTTGGGCTGATTTAAAATACATTTAAAAACATTTAAATATTGCTTTCCTTGCTGGTTTTCCTATTTCTGTTTGAATTTACATATTCTTCAGTGACCTGATGTAATTCATACCTTTCACTAATCTGATCGCACCCACTGCTATGATGCTAATTGCAATTAAGAATTACACTGTTAAAGCTAAGAATAAGAGAGAAAGATGTGTTGTATGTGCACGTTTCATTTGATAAATGCTGTTCTCACCACTTTTCCTTTAATCACCAGATCTGTAATTTCTTGGCATGAATGGAAAAATCTTTTAGTAGTAATGACCTTTAATAAAAGGGCTGATTGTGCACAGATGTTTCTGTAAAAAACCTCCTGAGGATTTGTAGTTATTCCCATCATGATTTCTATATTAAATGATTTTGTGGCTGTAAACACCAATCACTTGGAGGTAAAATTTCTTCTTGGTTTTCATCCAAAGCAAATGCTCCGTTAACAGACGCAGTCTGTAGGGACCCACTGTAAACATGTTCTGCTCTCAGGCAATCAATAAAGTGTTATCATATTCCAAGTGCAGGGTTAGTGAGAGAGCTGGACAGCTTAAACTGAGCCATGCTGCTCATCTAGCTAAAGGCCCGATCCATAAGCCAAACCCTCAAAGCCCCTGGCACTCGGAGCAAAAACGAGGGACATGTTTTTCAATTTTTTAACACAGATTTTGTTGACGTGGCTTGAAATTTAACAGATCAGTTGAATCTGCTTAATTCTTCATCTTTTCTCATGTGTCCACTTTGTCAGATCAGTCACTGACTGCCACATGATTTAGTGGTCAGTCAGGATTTTATGAAAGTATGTGTTTAAATGTGTCAGCCAGGTGGCAGACGTGGCTCAGTCAGGATTTTATGAAAGTATGTGTGCAGTGCACACATACTGTGCAGTGGTTCTAGGCTTAATACTTCAGTATCATGGACACTGTGCTGTTGAAATCCATTCAAAGACATGCATGCGCATATAGTACACATCTCTGAAAAACATAACCACTTGAAGCAATGCAACACTTTGAGATTATTTAGAGCTTGATGTTAGATAATTACTAACTACAAAGTCATGTTAAGTCATGGTGATTTTCTTGCATCATGTAAAGTAAGGAGAATGCCTCAGTCAATAGTGCATGACAGTGATGTACAGTAGCATTACATTTACAAAACCCTGGGAGGGCCATGCATTCACTCTACATTCTGACTCTGTTCTTTCCTGTTTTCACCTACTACTCATTTCCTCTGCTGTTTCCTTCAATATACTTTGAAAAATATCAAGTGGAGATCTGACGGTTGTGATAATGCTGACCGTGTATCTGTGCACGCGCGTGCACGTGTGTGTGTGTCTTAGGGGTGAACAGCCTTTGCCAGTCACTGAGTGCCAACCCTTCCATCCCCAGCAGCCTTGTCCATCTGGACCTCTCAGGGAATATCCTCCGAGGAGACGACATGCAGGTGTTCAGTCTACACACGAACACACACAGTTTCTAATCTATATCAGAACTAGTACTGTGTCAGTAGCATTGATTCAAACAGTTTGGTGCTGCAGTTGTGTGGAGGCCTTTTTAGACCATTATAAATCAGTTTGCCACTTGTTAGGAGAGCACTGACAATGGAATGTTTTACATCAGCTCAGAGCACAGATGTAGGCACGTTGGAGTAACTCTACTGTGGGGGTACTCAGAATCCAGATTTAACGGCCTGGAGGAGTCAAAACCACATTGTTTCAGAGGATTACATTAGAAAGTGTTTCTCACAGTGGTCAACAGCAAATCAGTCTACTAACATATTTTGCAGACGTCATATTCCTCTTCACTATCTACGTCTCATCCTCTCCTCTCCTGTATGCCCTCTTTCATTTTATGGCTCTAGCATTTCTACCACTTCCTCAGTCAACCCAACAGTCTGGCAACCCTTGACCTCTCCAACACTGACTGCTCATTGGACCAGGTGAGTCAGGAGGTACACGGATTCTGTGTTGTAGGAATGTAATCCACTCAATCTGTGTTGCTGTCTACCACTTGTGTAGTGGTTTGAATACTGTATGTGATGTATTGGTGCATGTCTAAGAATCAAATACAGTTTATTGATTAGTCTGAGACGTAGCCAGCTGTCAGCCTGTTACTAAGGATATTGACTAACTCCTAAATCATATTCTGTCTCACATACACAATAAATACACCGAGCACACAACAGGGTTGGAAGGTGCAAAGAATAAGTGTAAAGTACACAAAAGTCAATCATGTTTTTAGGCTTTCATAATGTAATAGAAACCAGTAAATGAACCAGCAGTTGAGACACTACACACAGTTCAGACATTATGCTGACAGATTGTGTGTGTGTGTACTCAGGTTTGCTCTGCTCTGCTGCGAGGCTCGGTCCAGCACCTCTCTGTTCTCAGTGTATCAAAGAGTGTCTTCCCTCACAGGTAAGACCCCGTGATTTCAGAAATGATTTTGGAAGTAAGGAGAATCAAAGTAAAATGCCCAATTGAACAAACTGCTTATTGCTAAACGGCAAAATTTCTATGTATATTTCAGTTTACTCCTATTTAATCACACAGGACTTCTCTACCTGTAAAACTCAATAATTTAACTAGAGTCAGATGTCTTTTTATGCACCTGATTTATATATCAACCACCTTAAAATTGTCCTTATATGAAGGCAGTCACATTGAAACATGTTGGTGTTTCCTATCATAACACAAATATTATGCATCTTTTTAAAAAGCTGAAACTAAGCATGAATCTCAGTTTAATGCTTTGAAGCAATAGATCAGAATGCAGATGTAGAAGAAGAAACAACATCCATAGTTATTGACAACTCTTATCTGTATCTGTTTGTAAAACGAGTAGCATCGCGAGCCCGGTTTATTATGAAATGGGTCTGGTGTCTCCTGTGAGCAGTATTTTATTAGGTGAGACTTCACTGTGTTCTCCTTCCCCACATGCAGTAACGTAGTCCTGTCTGTCTGATGTTTCATAAAGTTTTCTTTCATCCTAACATGTATATTTGACCTGATGTGACTTGTTACAGTAGTTCCCTTAAAAGTCTGTCTGTATGTGGGTGTGACACCTGCTGGTGACCCCGTGCCATTACAGGTCAGATAAAACACAGAATCAGAATCAGCTTTTCTGGCCAGGTGTGTTGAACACATGAGGAATTTGACTTCGGTACAGTGGCTCTCAGCGTGCATGTTCACCGTTCTCCCATAAGACAATGAGTAAACAAGATAAGATGCGGGTATGTATGAGTGTGTTAACTTTGGGTGAGTTTGTGGATGTGTACTGTTCAAGTGTGTTTAAATTCGAGTGGCTGTGTGTGTGTGTGTGTGTGTGTGTGTGTGAGAGATGCAGATCTTGTGTGTAACAGATGGGCAATGTATGGAATTTTCGTTCCATTATTATCTCTCCTTCCAGTGTGTCTGAAGGGAAGAGGGGAGTGGAGGATGGGAGGGGATGTAGGAGCCGAGGAGAGGGGAGAGGAGACAAGGATGTGAGTGTAGTAGAAACTGAAGGAAATAAAGCAAATGGAGACCAGTGCAGAGTGGAGGAGATGAGCGAGTGAGTGCTGAGGTGGGAGAGGATGTTATTGTATCTGGGATGTTAAGTGGTTCTGGCTTTTGGATAATCCACCCTGTAGCCTTCGTTCTGTGGCAGTAAAATAATTTCTTAAACGCTAGATAAAAGCTAAAATGGGTCACAGGCTATTAGAACATGGCAGAAGTACTAAAAGCAACAGCTACATCATTATGTTTTATTGTAATGTATCATGTCTGTGCAGATTCTCAGTCATCCAGGTCATAGTAAAATCAACTGGACTAGATTTCTAGGTCGCAGACGTTTCACCTCTCATCCAAGAGGCTGACACCAGTCAGTCAGAACTGATGAAGCACCGGCTAAGTTTTTTCAGATTGTAATGGATCAAAAAGCTTTAAAATTGTCTTAGAAGTTGCTGACATAATTTTCAGTCATTGGTGTATCTGTAGGGCAGTGTTTTGTTTACTTCCCTCTTTCTGTTTCTGTAGGAAAGGCAAAGAGGTGACTCCGTCATTCAAGCATTTCTTCAGCAGTGCCATGTCTCTCAGCTCTATCAGCGTGTCAGGAACAAAGCTGCCACCAGAGGCCCTGAAGTGAGAGAGCGATTCATTCACATTGAACGTGTCGGAGGAACAGCTCCTTCTGTCCTACATTCTCTGTGATTGTACATTTTGTCCTTGTTCCTTAGTTTCTTCTTTGCCTAAGCTGCACAGTTTTAGACTTTAGACAGGTAAAAATAAACTTGTCTCATCAGTTTATACAGTATCACAGAGGAGCTGTATTAGAGAATGGCCTATGCAGGTTCATCAACTGGGACACTGGAGTTTAATGTTTTTTTTTTATTTGAAGTTTGGGTATTAACAGTGAAATATTACCCCTGGATTCACAAACAATGCACAGTTGACTAACATTTTGTTGCATGATAAAAAGCTTTCAGTCTCAGTACTTCTTAAATTATTAAATTGTTTGTTTACTGTTCTAATTTTTACCTACGTGTAATGGTGTTTCAGAGCACTCCTGCTTGGCCTGGCCAGTAACCCCAGTCTGAAGGACGTGTCTCTAGACCTCAGCTGCTGTGAGGTGAGAGATGCACTGCACATCATTTTCCCCTATTCAGTTATTTTATTATAAGATATCTATTTTTAGGCATTTCCTGGCTGGTGAGCTACTGTTTAATTATTTTATTTTGAAATGATTGTTACATTTTTATATCCTGACAGCTTCACTAATGACCATTCATCATACCAATCAATTGTGCATTGTAGTGATTCTTGACAGCCTATCGGTGCATTTTAAGGTTATGATAAATGTGGGCATTTTGTCACATGTTGAAAATGTATGCTAAATCATGTGGCTATTTACTAATAAGCTTGTTGCGTGAGATCAAATCTTAATGTGATAACTGTATTGTTAAAGGCCCTGACACAAGACAAAGTGTTTCTTAAATATTGCATATCACCAATGGGAAGAACCAAGTGGCTGTAGAGATCTAGGTCTACCAGCTATAGTTCAGTTAAGTGTGCAGTACAGTGATGATGATAATGCAGGGAAAGTTATTTATTGTATCCAGTAGGATTCATGTTTTCTCATTAAAGTACAGTGCTGAGAAATATAGTGAAAACAATCTTAGGTAATCAGAAGACGACTGCCAGCAGATGTTATGGGGATACTGGCTTTGTATACCTTGATTGTATTCCTATATTCTTCCTGTTTCCAGTATTAGTAGCATTTAAGTGTTAAAGTTTGGTGAGCATGGTTTTTAATAGTTTGAAGATAATGCTCATCCAGTACAATCATCATTTTAGGATCCACTCCAAACCCTTTTTACAGGCCCAGTGACACTGTTGAGAGGCTGTTTAATGGAACGCTTGGCAGACAGCAGGCGGGGGAGAAGAGGGAGAGATAAAGTGAGGGTGCAGGGTTCGGCTTCCCTCTCTAATTGTTTCATCACAACTCTCGCCCACACACACACACACACACCAGCTCCTCGCCTTCAACTCCTCCCCTGCTCGGGCACATAAAGACAGCTTGCTGCAGATTCAGTGGGATGGCTAAAAATAACAAATGAATAGAAATTACACAGGAAATCCAATTCCAGTTTCCCATAGACATCTTCCCAAGACGAAGCTGCGGTGGGAAATGATGCGTTCTGTCCTTTTTTTGAAGCCTTAATGAACCGTTTGGCAGCGGCATCCTAAAACTTGAGTCAGTTGACAGCGTGCAGAATGACTGATTATCACTCCCTGTTGAGTGTGTTTGTGCAAATGTGTGTGTCTGCACTGAGTGTGTGTTGGAGTAAAAGTCTGATCATTAAGCATCTGTGTGTTTTGTTGTGGGTAATTGTTGGCTTGGCTCTGACATGCCGTTCTCTCCCCCTAATGCCTCTGTAAGCTTGGCCATTGTGTAAGTACCAATGTGCTCACTCCAAGTGATTAACATCTCATTCATCCTCATTTTTATTTGTGAGATACTTTATATTCAGATCATTTCATTCTTGGGTTTTCATTCAACATATCACATGAAATTAAAAGATTAAGACTAGAAGCAACATCTAGAGTAGCTGCAGTTGTTCTGAGTGATCTGTATTATCATTTTTTGTTACCATTATAAGTTAATTTAATTTAAAACCACTGTCGTCTTCATTCTTTAACCCTGTCCTATTTATAGTTGTGTGTTTTGTCTAAACAGCCATGTGCATCTTTTAGTCTGAAAGTGCCTGCTTGACTGTCTTTACAGGTGCATTATCATGTTCCAGCAGAGGTGCAGCAAGCGGCTGAGGAATTGGTTTTAGAGTAGTTACTTCCAGTGAGAGAGGCATCTGACATTCTGTGATATGGCTGACTGTGTGCTTAAAGTTTGCTCCGCTTTCTTTACAGCTGCGGTCCGGAGGGTCTCAGATTCTTGAAAGTTGTATTGCCGAGATCCCCAACATCTCCAGCTTAGACATCTCTGACAATGGTGAGGTGGCAATGTCCAGGAATATTGTGCCATATATTATTAAATCAGTAGTGGTCAGTCAGTCTTACTATCATTTAGACTGAAAATTGTATTCCTCTTCCCCAAGGCCTGGATTCAGATCTCTCTACTCTGCTGGTTTGGTTAGCCAAAAACCGGTCCATCAAACATCTGTCTCTGGGGAAGAACTTCAACAGCATCAAGTCCAAGTAAGAATACAAGAGGAGAGGGAGCACAGCTGATGTGTGCAGCATGGGCCTAGCCTGGGTTTGGTTATGGCATAGCATGACATAGCTTGGTATGTTGTAGGCGATCAAACACTGGGCCACTAGCACAAACTAACATTAAATACATGTAAGGTTCTTTCAAAAGCCACGCGGCCCTGAGGACTGTCGCTGTTCTCTTCATGCGTAGCAGAATTGCGTAGTCAAAGTGACCAGATACAGTTCATACAAAATGTTGTACTTACAGAAAGATGGAATTGTGCAGAAAATCCGAACACATGGAAACTGTCGTCTTGAAATTGTATAAATGGCAGATTTTTCATGAGGTTTCAAAATATTGTTCTCTCTCTATCATTTCCATTGTGTATGTATATTTACTTCAGTTTCTCTTCCGGTCTGATTTAGAAACCTTGCTCCCGTGTTGGACAGCCTGGTTCATATGATTCAGGAGGAGGAGTCGGTGAGTTTTTAAATTTCATTTTCTGCCTGGCTTTTTGCCAGGGACAGTAGCACAGAAGTAACAGGAGAGGTCCTTGGGCAAATGCCTCAGATTCAAATCAGCGATGCTTGTTGTCAGGACACTGCTATTGTTCATAAACATTGCTCTCCGATGGTGGAGTTTATTATCATCAAGTGCCAGCCTTTCTATTTATGTAGAGAGCACTCAGTAATTCTGTTGATAGCTGTGTACATTCCTCCCACCACTAACACCAGCGATAGGAGTGAGGCACTAAATCAGTGGTTCTCAAACATTTTTTGTCATTCCCCACTTAAAAGGGTGGGCGAATTTTCAAGCCCCACTTGTCAAAAAATTATAACGAAATTGGCCAATTTTAAAATTTCACATTGATTGAAATATCAAATAACACTAAGTTGAAAACTGATAAAATATATGTGCAACTGTATCGTTTGACAGGGATAGTTTTCAATTTTGCAGAACTTGTCTCATCCAGCATAATCGACACCATGTCTACAGTTACAGGGAGAAATGAGCTGCTCAGCAACTGACTGGGGTGTGTTGTCTCTAAATGTCTTCTTAATTTGTTGGGTCTCATGTTGTCTGCTGCCAGCGGTTTAAGACACAAGACACACATGGGTCTCTCCTCTGCCCCCACCAGTCCCACCGTGAATCCAAGCGCAAGATAGGCTTCATCATATTTTCTTTTCAGCTGGCTTTTTGGTTGATAAGGCTACTGCCAGTTGTTTCTTTGTCTGCTTGCGCTGAATCGCCTGCTTTTCTTTGTGGTCCACGTAACATACTGTATTTATCCATTTACGTTTTTATACTTACTACGTACACTATTGGCCCCCTCTGTGAACATTTCCTTATATTGTTGCGTAGCAGCTAACATGCTGACATTAAACCGTTATTGTTGCACTATGGTTCCACTTTTTTCTCCCGGGCCCGAACTGATATTTTGATTTACTTGTATTAATGACCCATTTCTAATTTTCTCCGTTCATTGCGCCCCACCTGTCATGTCTTTATTCCCCACTAGCGGGGTGCACCCCACACTTTGAGAACCACGGCACTAAATGAACTCTTAACAGGCCGTCAGTGAACAACAGTCAGTGCACCCAGATGGATTCCTCATCACAGACTGGGACATTTTCAAACACATAACAATCAAATAGACATAGAGGAATACACTGAGGCCATCACAGCATACATCACAAAGTGCATTGATGATGTCACCTACAGCAAAAATATCACTGCCAACCAGAAGCCATGGATGACAGGTGAGGTTCACAGGCTCCTAAGGGCTCGAGATGCAGCCTTTAGGGCTGGTGACACCACAGGCCTAGCAACAGCAAGAGCCAACCGGTCCTCCTGGTCATGCAGAACATCAAGTCCATTCTTCCGCCCTCTCACAGCCCATTTCAGTTTGCATACAGGTCAAACAAGTCCATAGAGGATGCCATTACTGCTGTTGTCCATCCAGCCCTCACCCACCTAGATTCACAGAACTCTTACGTGTAAATGCTCTTCCTAGACTTCAGTTCAGCATTCAACACAATCATTCCCCAGCAGATCATACAAAAGTTTGGACACTTAGGACTCAAAACCTCTCTCTGCAACTGGGTGCTGGACTTTCTAACAGGGAGGCCACAAAATGTGTGGGTTGGCAGCAACATCTCCAAGACCATCACGCTGAGCACAGAGGCTCACGACTGTGTGCCAACCTACAGCACCAACCACATTGTCAAGTTTGCAGGTGACATGACTATAGTTGGCCTCGTTACCAACAATGATGAGGCCAACTACAGGAGTGAGGTGTGCCATCCTCTTCCTCAATGTGGGGAAGACTAAAGAGATCATTGTGGACTTCAGGAGAAAACCTCTAAAGCATCCTCCACTGACCATCGACGGTGCTGTAGTGAAGAGAGTGAGCAGTACCAAGTTCCTGGGGGTGCACATCTCTGAGGACCTTTCCTGGACCAACAACACCACATCAATGGCCAAGAAAGCTCAAACACACCTCTACTTCCTCTGCAAACTGAGGAAAGCCAGTGTCCCACCCCCCATCATGTGCTCTTTCTACCAGGGCACCATTGAGAGCGTCATCATTGGCTGGATCACTGTGTGGTACAGAGCCTATACTGCCTCCTGCAGAAGGACACTGCAACACATAGTGAAAACAGCCAGCAAGATCATCAGCACCCCTCTGCCTTCCCTTATAGACACCCACCTCACCCGCAAAGCCATCAGCATTGCTGATGACACCTCCCACCCT